ACGCCGCGCTTTTATAAACTGTCAATCACAGCTGTCAATCACGATGACACGCCCAGCATTAAATTACTGCTAAAAACAAACTGTTTACAAAAATGAAGATCTGCACCTATTTCAGCACAATAACCAGTGCCTTAATCCACCAGAACCATCTTTCGGGACATTTTATTGCAAGTGTAATAATTTTTTTATTTGGGCTCAAGTCTCCTTCATTAACACGGAGGAGGCGGGCTTTATGACTTCTACTGCAGCCAGCCGCCAGGGGGCGATCTAACGGCCGAGACCTTCACTCAAACGCAGGCTTGCGGCACACTTGGTTCTCCCCGTGTTGATGTGGGTTTCCTCCGGGTGCTCCGGTTTCCCCCACAGTCCAAACACATGCGCTATAGGTGAATTGATGAACTAAATTGTCCGTAGTGTGTAAGTGTGAATGGGTTTTTCCCAGTACTGGGTTGCAGCTCGAAAGGCATTCGCTGTGTAAAACATTTGCTAAAAAGTTGGCGTTTCATTCCGCTGTGCGACCTCTGATGAATAAAGGGACTAAGCTGAAGGAATATAAAGGAATGAATGAGTTCTTTGGAAGAGTGTACTTGCATTGTGATGATATTATATTGTCACTCTGGCATTATATATCATGAGTGGCCTAAAATGGTCTTAAAATGGTTATAATATAATTTATCGTTACATATTTTGGTGCAATATATTGTACAACAAAAAATAGATATGGTGACTGGCCTAAACTGGATAATTCAATGAGTGTGGATCATGGACTTTTGAGTTATTCTGTTTATAAGATTAAAGCACCAAAATAAAACAACACAGAAGCGCAGTGCAAACTTCACTAATAAATCATAGGGACAGAACAAAATGTAGTTCTTACGGTTTTTGGTTTGGTCAGATTGCTAGTGTTGGGCACTATACAGTGCATCTGTAAAGTATTTATAGCGCTTCACTTTTTCCACATTTTTTATGTTACAGCCTTATTCCAAAATGGATTCAGTTAATTTGTTTCCTCAAAATTCTGCACACAATACCCCATAATGACATTGTGAAAAAAGATTATTTGAAACTGTTGCAAATTCATTAAAAATAAAAAAGCTGAAAATTACATGTACATCAGTATTCACAGCCTTTGCTGCGAAGCTCTAAATTGAGCTCAGGTACATTCTGTTTCCACTGATCATTCTTGAGATGTTTCAGCAGCTTCATTGGAGTTCACCTGTGGTCAATTCAGTTGAGTGGACGTGATTTGAAAAGGCATACACCTGTCTATATAAGGTCCCAGGGTTGACAGTGCATGTCAAAGCACAAACCAAGCATGAAGACAAAGGAATTGTCTGTAGACCTCCAAAACAGGATTCTCAAGGCATAAGGCTGGGGAAGGTTACAGAAAAATGTCTGCTGCGCTGAAAGTTCCAATGAACACAGTGGACTCCATCTTCCGTAAGTGGAAGATGTTTGAAACCACCAGGACTCCTCCTAGATCCGGCCGACCATCTAAGCTGAGTGATCAGGTGAGGAGGGCCTTAGTCAGGTAGGTGATCAATAACCCAATGGCCACTCTGAGCTCCAGCATTCTTCTGTGGAGAGAGGAGAACCTTACAGAAGGACAACCATCTGTGCAGCAGTCCACCAATCAGGCCTGTATGGTAGAGTGGGCAGACGGTAGACACTCCCTGCCTGGAATTTGCCAAAAGGCATCTGAAGGACTCTCAGACCATAAGAAACTAAAGTCTCTGATCTGATGAGACTAAAAGTGAATTCTTTGGAGTGAATGCCAGGCCTTACAATTGGAGAAAACCAGGCACCGCTCATCACCAGGCTAACACCATCCCTACAGTGAAGCATGGTGGTGGCAGCATCATGCTGTAGGGATGTTTTTCAGCAGGAACTGGAAGAACTAGTCAGGATAGAGGGAAAGATGAATGCAGAAATGTACAGAGACATCCTGAATGAAAACCTGCTTCAGAGTGCTCTTGATTTCAGACTGGGGCGACGGTTCATCTTTCAGCAGGACAATGGCTCAAAGCACACTGCCAAAATATCAATGGAGTGGCTTCACAACAACTCGGTGAATGTCCTTGAGTGGCCCAGCCAGAGCCCAGACGTACATCCTATTGAACATCTCTGGAGACATCTGAAAATGGCTGTACACTGTCCCTTCCCATCCCACCTGATGGAGCTTGAGAGGTACTGCAAAGAGGAAAAATTCCCAAAGACAGGTGTGTCAAGCTTGTGGCATCATATTCAAAAAGACTTGAGGCTGTTATTGCTGCCAAAGGTGCATCAACAAAGTATTGAGCAAAGGCTGTGAATACTGATGTACATGTGCTTTTTCAGGTTTATTATTTTTAATAAATTTGCAACAGTTTCGAAAAATCTTTTTCCAAATTGTCATTATGGGGTATTGTGTGTAGAGTGTTGAGGAAAAAAATAAATTGAATCCATTTGTATTCAGGCTGTAACATTAAAAAAATGTGGAAAAAGTGAAGTGCTATCAATACTTTCTAGATGCACTGTACATCCAATAGTAGGCTACAGAGGATGCTTGCTTGCTTCTGTAACACTGCAGGACTCTTATGTGACTTAATAGACTATGACCACAACACCCAGACGCTCTCAGAGCTGTATCGTGTTATCTGGACTCCAGTTGTCTTTCCCCACCGTAACTTAAGATGATGGTCACGGCAGGTTGAATATTTTTAGCGCTGTAAATTGTATTGTGTTGAAAGGTCAAGGTTACTCACCAATTGAAAACCAGCGGGGATCAACTGCGCTGAGCGCTACCAATTTTCAGCCTTAAATTGAATCAGGAGGTCAACATTCATGTGGTATACATTGATGTACAAGATTTTCATTTGTCAAAATAAGACGCAGAAGTACAAGAAGAGTGTTTTAAGGAAGAAAAAGAGGCAGAGGACTGGATTTTATTGATTGATACTTAAAAGTAATTGAGAAGAAAGAAGAATTTATAAAGTCAGTGTTCCTGTTTTTTTTCTACTGCGAGCTGATTGGATGTAGTAAAGTAGGTATTTCATTCAGAAAGATGGGCAAAAGGGTTTGGGGAGAGTTATTGCATCCTAACAGACTCCTCCTGCTCACCATTTCTGTTTGATGTCAAAACTGACAGCTGTCTGTAGAAAAAGCTGTTCATGGCGGTAAGCAGTAAGCAGTTATACCATCCTGTAACGTACGATTTAAAGATGAAATGCAGCCATAGTTTATCTGACTACATAATTCATGATCTCCAGAAATGTATATAGACCTACGCTTTAAGAATGAGCCTATGTTGGTTTAACTCTATTTTCAAAAAAGAAAGAAAGAAGAATGCTCTTTTATAAAAATAAAAATACTGGTGCAGAAAATTGCCACCATTTCACTTAAAAATGCAAGATCTTGAATGCAAACATAATTTTAAGCCAGCATGCATCAATAAATCACACCATGCATCACAACAGCAGCAGCATGCCGTCAATAAATGCCAGTTATGATTTCATATCGCCTTTAAGATGATTCAACCCAGACTCATTCTGTAATTGTACCCCTACATACATTTCTGGAGAGCACCTACTATGTCCCAGGGGCTATGTTTTTTTTTTCTTTGCAGTTTTTGTTTTCGTGAATCCACCAGAGGCCGCTGTGTACGCTTTTTCACATCTCAAATTTCTCTCGCGAGTGCCATTTGCGCCTGCTGTTCTCTTGTAAATCCACCAGAGGCCGCTGTGTACGCTTTTTCAGATCTCAAATTTCTTTTGTGACATTCGCTCTTGCTGTTCTCTTGCAAATCCACTAGAGGCTGCTGTGTATGCCTATTCAGATCTCAGATTTCTCTCATTAGTGACATTTGCGCCTGCTGTTCTCCCGTAAATCCACTAGAAGCCACTGTGTACGCTTTTTCAGATCTCAAATTTCTCTCGCAAGTGACATTCGCGCCTGCTGTTCTCCCGTAAATCCACTAGAAGCCACTGTGTACGCTTTTTCAGATCTCAAATTTCTCTCACGAGTGACAATTACGCCTGCTGTTTTCACGTAAATCCACCAGAGGCCGCTGTGTACACTTTTTCAGACCTCAAATTTCTCTCGCGAGTGACATTCGCGCCTGCTGTTTTCACGTAAATCCACCAGAGGCCGCTGTGTACACTTTTTCAGATCTCAAATTTCTCTCACGAGTGACAATTACGCCTGCTGTTTTCACGTAAATCCACCAGAGGCCGCTGTGTACGCTTTTTCAGATCTCAAATTTCTCTCGCGAGTGTAAATCCACTAGATGCTGCTGTCGTCTGGCTGACTTACTGACTGACTGATACCCTCGTCTGATTTTTACCACGTTTTCAGATTTTACCACATTCTCACCCTGTTGTTATGTGTTCATTTAATTTTTTGGCTTTTGTTTTTGTTTTACCTGCTTTCTGGAACCGTTTTTCGCCAGACTCGAACTCTGTCGTTGTGGTCACCTCCTCTCGGTGTCTCAAGTCCGCCGACATACGCTGCGAGCCACTGGACAAAGTGTCTGGACACTGTCATACCGGCCCGTAGCATTCGTTTTAATGATGAAATGCAGCCCAACGTACTTCTGGCTACATAATTCGCTATCTCAGGGCTACATTTTGCAACCTATGTTGGTTTAACACCGTTTCCAAAATAAAAGAAAAAGTGCTCTTTTATTTAAAAAATACTGATGCTGAAAATTGCCACCATTGCACTCCAAAATGCAAGATCATGAATGCAAACATCATTTCGAACCAGCATGCATCAATATATCACGCAATGCATTGCAACACCAGCAGCATGCCTTCAATAAATGCCAGTTATGATTTCATATCGCCTTTAAGATGATTTATCCCACTCATACGCTGCATGACTAAAATGACACTTGACATTTGCATTCCTTCTGCTTTTACTATATCGCAATCCAGCTACATATTGCAGAAATAACTGCAATTCTACACCCAGCGTGAATGCTTTATCCCAGCGCAGCCTATTTCATTCAGTGCTTTCAGAGAGCAGCCTGTCCATTCACTTCTCCTCCAGCGCCGATGCAGAAGTGGCCCTGAATGTGGGCCGTTGCATAACCCTTCAGCAGGGCCCCTTTTCTATTTTTGTTCCTGGATACGCGTCTCCGTGAGGTATTTTCTGTGGTGACTCGCTTACATCTGTAGGTCCTCTAATGTACTCTCATTGAGCAGGACGCCGATGACTGTTGAGCTTTTGTGTTTTCCAAAGGGATGCATGGCAGAAAAGGGGGAATTATGACAACATCTGCATTTGACTGGAGACATCATCGGCTGAATTTGGACTCCAGGTTGGTGGGTCTGATGTCTTTTATGAGTCAAAAAAATAAGAAAACAGGTGACTCCTTCAAAGTCAGCTGCGCTTTATTTGTATTGACCGCATTCTTTGGAGCTCTTCTGTGGATCTTTTGTTTGTGTTGTAGTTTTGGATTGCACTACAGGTGTGTTTCATGAGATGCCAGGTATCCCACTGGGTTAGTGATGCCAAAGGGGGGCTGATATATGACGTAATTGCATTCTCTTGAGTCTGGTTATATTCGCCCGCCTCTGGCTTTTTGACATATTCCTCTGCTTGTAGAGTGCATGCATTAATGCAGATGCACGCACGATCATTTAAAGGAAAATCGAAGGTCATAACTTGTGTTGTTTTTAAAGCGATGGCATGGCATTGTGTTACTTTAATGCTGTTATTATTGCCTCGTGACTCCTTTAACTTGTCAGCCCAGTTGCATTTAGGTTTGTGTGTGTGTCGAGGACAGCGCGGGATTGAGGTTGACCTTGAAAAAATAAAAAAGCAGATCTGATCGCTGTGTTTTGTCATTCCTACATCAACTCTCTGCCCCTCTCGCTATCTCCAGACTGTTTAGATATACGGAGTCGACCCGTGGGAAACGTTTGACTTCATTGTAGAGCTTGTCATGGTTTGGTTTTAGGTTTTATTGCTTGGTGGAGCTTGATATTTCCTCTCTGACGGCTTGCAGAGTCTTAATGTCCTAATTAGGAGGGTTGAACCAGATAACCTTATGTAACCTCATTATACATGTATGCTAATGGTATGCAAGTCTTCTTTATTAATTAGTGAAAAAAATTCTTTATTAATTAGTTGCAATATTGTTTTGTTTCCCGGTTATTTTATATCTCTACCTGTTGACTTATTTGACCAGTCAAATGTAAACTTTCAAATAACGAAATTTGGTTTTTATTTTCCTGTAAAATAAAAAAAAACTAACAAAAAGCCTAGGCACATTCTGAAAACACCTCTATATACATTTCTGGAGATCGCCAAATACACCCCAGGAGCTATGTTATTTCTATTTTTTTCGTGAATCCACCAGAGGTCACTGTGTACACTTTTAGATCTCAAATTTCTCTCGCAAATGCCATTTGTGCCTGCTGTTCTTATGTAAATCCACCAGAGGCCGCTATCGACTGACTGATGGACACATCCTCCTCCTTACCTAAATCTAACCAATAGTGTTTTCAAAAGCACCAATTGACCTGCCCACTCACTTTCCTAAACCCAACCGACAGCAATCCAAAGCAATCCAAAAAAAAAAAAGCCCTTGCCTGATTTTTACCACGTTTTCAGATTTTACGACATTCTCGCCCTGATTTGTTTTACCTGCTTTCTGGAACTGTTCTTCACCAGACTCGAACCCCGTTGTCATTGTTAAATTCTCTGCGTCTCAAGTCTGCTGACAAACATGGCAAGCTAACTGGACAAACTGATACCAGCAGGAAAGCCGCTCATATGGAGGTATGCAGTCAGCTAGTAATCGCGAAAAGGAAAGCTCTCATACTGCCCTGTAACGTTTGTTTTAAAGACAAAATGCAGCCATACGTAACTCTGGCTACATAATTTGCAGTCTCCAGAAATGTATATAGGGCTACGTTTTCAGAATGAGTCTATGTTGAAAGAACAAACAAATAAAGAGAAGGATTTTGCACTGTGATAATGGTGTTGCCATTTTGTAATATTTGCAACCAAGACTAATTCTGTAAATTTACCTCTATATATATTTATGGAGAGTGCTAAATGCGTCCCAGGAGCTATGTTTTTTGCAGTTTTTGTTTTCATAAATCCACCAGAGGCCGCTGTGTTTGCTTTTTGACATCTTAAATATCTCTCTTGATTGCCATTCACGCCTGCTGTTCTCGTGTAAATCCACCAGAGGCTGCTGATCGTCTGACCCACCCTCCTCCTTCCCTAAACCCAACCAATAGTGTTTTTAAAAGCACCGATTTGACCCACCCATCCACTTTCCTAAATCCAACAAACATTGGTTTTCAAAAGCAATCCAGAAAAAGAAAAGCCCTTGCCTGATTTTTACCACGTTTTCAGATTTTACCACATTCTCACCCTGTTATTTACTTTATTTTTTGGTTTTTGTTTTACCTGCTTTCTGGAACCGTTTTTCACCAGACTCGAACCCCGTTGTCGTGTTTAATTCCTCTCTGTGTCTCAAGTCTGCTGACTTACAAGGCAAGCTAACTGGAGAAACTGGTAACAGCAGGAAAGCCGCCCATACTAATGAATGCGGTCAGCTGGTAAGAATAAAAAGTAACGCCGTCATATGACTCCGTAGCGTTCATTTTAAAGATGAAATACAGCCATACGTAGCTCTGGATACATAATTCGTGATCTTCAGAAATGTGTATAAGGCTGTTTTCAGAATGAACCTGTGTTCAAAAACAAAGAGAAGGATTTTGCACTGTAATAATGTTGTTGTCATTTTGTAGTATTTGCAACCCAGACTCATTCTGAAAACAAACCCCTATATACATTTATGGAGAGCACCAAATTCGTCCCCGGAGCTACTGTTTTTGCAGTTGTTGTTTTCACTAATCCACCAGACGGTGCTGTATATACTTTTTGACATCTTAAATTTGTCTCTCAAGTGCCTGCTTTTCTCGCGTAAATCCACCAGAGGCAGCTGATCGTCTGACCCACCCTCCTCCTTCCCTAAACCCAACCAATAGTGCTTTCAAAAGCACAGATTGACCCGCCCACCCACTTTCCTAAACCCAACCGACATTAGTTTTCAAAAGCAATCCAGAAAAAGAAAAGCCCTCACATGATTTTTACGTTTTCAGATTTTACTACATTCTCAACCTGTTATTTACTTGTTTATTTTACTTTTCGGCTTTTGTTTTTGTCTTACCTGCTTTCTGAAACTGTTCTTCGCCAGACTCAAACCCAGGTTGTTGTGGTCAGCTCCTCTTTGTGTCTTAAGTCTGCTGACATACATGGCAAGCTAATTGGACAAACTGGCAACAGCAGGAAAGCCGTCCATACGGAGGTAATCGGTCAGCTGGTAATGATGAAAAGGAATGGCCTCATGCTGCCCTGTAGCGTTCGTTTTAAAGACGAAATTCAGCCATTTGTAGCTCTGGCTATGTGATATGAGATCCCCAGATATGTAAATAGGTCTACGTTTTCAGAACGAGTCTGTGTTCAAAAAAAAAACAAACAAATAAAGAGAAAGATTTTGCACTGTAATAATGTTGTTGCCATTTTGTAATATTTGCAACCCAGACTCATTCTGAAAATGAACCTCTAAATAGAGGTCCCAGTTTTTACAAATCCACCAGTTGTCGATGTATACGCTTTTGACATCTTAAATATCACTCTCGAGTGCCTGCTATTCTCGCATAAATCCAACCAGAGGCCACTGATCATCTGACCCACCCTCCTCCTCCTTCCCTGAACCCAACCAATAGTGTTTTCAAAAAACCGATTGATCCATGAGAAATAGCAGTAAATCTGTCCACATGGAAGTAAGCGGTCAGCTGGTAAGCGCAAAAAGGAATGACGTCATACGCCCTTGTAGCGTTCGTTTTAAAAACGAAATGTTGCCATACGTACTTCTGGCTACATAATTCGTGATCTCCAGAAATGTATACAGGGTTATGTTTTTAGAATGAGCCTATGTTGAATATTTGTAAGACAATGTAAACTGTTTTAGGTAACACTTTAAAGTAATGTATTTACTAACACAACAAACAATGAACAACGCATTTACTACAGTATGTATTCATCTTTTTTCATGTTAGTTAATGAAAATAGTTCTTGCTAAAGCACAGTGTATTATCTAATGTTAACAAGCACAAATTTGGACTTTAATAATGCATTAGTAAAGGTTGAACCTTGATTATTAAAAACTCTGCGGACCCGGTACCGGGTCCATGACGTCATCGACTTTCGCTTTAAGATTTAAAGGCTAGCAATGCACCAGACCCCTGTAAGTGGTTTTGTTTGAAAGTGTAGAATCTATATTTTATGCACATATGCATCACTTTGGTTTTTATTCTACTGTACAAAAGTTTTTTTACACTTATATACACAGTATTGTGGATACCCAAGCTGGGTATTTTACATGGGTTAATTTTCATATTTTTCATATGACACATGTACAAGTTATAGCTCAAATGAAAGCTCTTGCCGGTGCTTATATGGTTCTAGCATTCTTTTTACTGAATTATATTCACATATCAAACAGTTACCAAATGAATCACGGTGTTTCCATGGCGCAGAAGTGAAAACATTACATTTATGGTCAATAAGCAGCCCCAGATAGCACAGACAGCTGTCATCTCTTACCTTATGCTGTGCGCTTCAGGGCCATTTCTCCTCTGTTTTTGAGGTGATGTGCATAAGTAATCCTTTTATATGTCTGATGTGGTGAAAACACAGTGAATTATGTTTGATCAAACAAAAGAATAGGGAAATATGAAAACAATGATCGGTCCCTTGTATAGCACCTCTCATCAGTTGGAATACAATAACTTTTGCATAGATTATGGTAGAGACATTTTTATTTTTTCCTATGATTACAGACATGTGCAGGAACCAACAAAATTAATTACAGCTAGTTAAACCACACATAACCTAAAAGGTACTCTTTCAAATTTGAGTTCATAAAAAAAAAAGAAAACGCCTCTTTTTAGGTGTTTATTATAACACAGATAACATATACAGTTATTTTAAACACTTTCAATAGTGTTTTATGAAAATTTAAAAGGTTTTCTTTAAAATTTATACCAAATTTTTGCATTTGGGAAGCTTTTAAATTTGGGTAGGCAAAATCCAGGCAGAAATCTCAAAATAGCAGCAGCATTTAACTGGTTAAATATTGTACAAGTGTTTTCTATTATGGGCAAACACAGTGGCTCAGTGGTTAGCTCTGTCACCTCACAGCAAGAAGGTCGCTGGTTTGAGTCCTGACTGGGTCAGTTGGCATGTCTTTGTGGAGTTTGCATGTTCTCCCTGTGTCGGTGTGGGTTTCCTCCGGGTGCTCCGGTTTCTCTCACAGTCCAAACAAATGCGCTTAGGGTGAATTGAATAAACTTAATTGGCCTTAGTGTATGAGTGTGAATGAGTGGTATGGGTGTTCCCCAGTACTGGATTGCTACTGGAAGAGCAAGGAAAATGAATGAATAAATAATACTTATTTTCAGCATAACTACTCATGTCTTTAGTGCCACATGGTACACACAGTACTTTATGTTCCTTATATTACGGTAAATGTTGAAAATTATTCTCAATATTATAGGCTACTGTTGAGTAAAAAAAAGAAATTCTATTTAAATATAAATCTTTTTTAAATCTTGATCTGTCAATCCACTTTTTAAGTTCACAGGTGACAATTATATATCTATGATATTCATAGCTTACCCAATTCCCCTAAAACACATGTCTTTTTACTGTGGGGGAAACCGGATGCTCCTGGAGGAAACCCATGCCATATGGGGAAAACAAGCAAACTCCACACAGAAATCCCAACTAACCCAGCTGGGACTCGAACCAGTGACCTTCTTGCTGTGAGGTGACAGTGCTAACCACTGAGCCACCATGTCACCTTAGACAAAATAATTTGCATTATATATGAACTGAAAAGCATCCCACGTGTGGGAGGGTGAACATTCTGTTGCATACTTTTGTTCCCCTAGACAGAGGTAAGGGAATGTAACACTAATCAATGTAATGCATTTTGTTGTAAATATATATATATATATATATATATATATATATATATATATATATATATATATATATATATATATGTGTGTGTGTGTGTGTGTGTGTGTGTGTGTGTGTGTGTATGTGTGTGTATATATGTATATGTATATATATATATATATATATATATATATATATATATATATATATATATATATAAAATAAACAATATTGAACAATATTCCTTTTTTTGATTCTCATTGATTTTTAAATGTAATTATTTTAGAGGAAACTGTTTTCCTTTGAATAAAAACAGCATTGTAAATGGAGCTTAGACTGCAGAGTGATTGATGACGTTACACAGATAAATTGCATTGTCATTTCCACCTATCATTATTCCTGCACAGCTGTATACTTGTTGTACTTGTAGTTTTGGTAAATTGTCTAATAGAGGAATTCCTGACCTTACAGTTCGAGACGACCTTCACATCAATCAAAGACCTCAGAAGGACACAGAGATGGTGCTGGCACACTGCCTTCAGAAACACTCTACTCAGGGCATGGTAAGTTTACAGGCCGTCTTGGCCTAAAGATAGCTTTTGTACTCATTTTATTAATAATTGCTGTGACATTCAATTAAACTATTCAAGATATCCTTCACTATATTTTAAATATTTGCTTGCTCATAGCATCTATGTTGTTTTCTGTTTGCAGACAATTTGGATGTGGTGCCCAAGCTTGACTGCATATAAAAATGGAGACCATTTTTAAACAACTTGAGTGAACCATGCTCTTGAACATATGGAAAGGATTATTGGATCATTTTAAAAAAATGATGCAGCTGGACTGACTGCTGTACAATCGCAGGGAACTCTCTAAAGCACTCAAGGATTAAAAGAGAATCTTTCATCGAAGCAAGATGATGTTCGTTGTGATGAAACCAAGGGCAATGTAGCACCCATAGCTTGCAAATCCTTATCATGGAGGCTACTAAAACCTCAGGTGAAGTGGAAAGTTCCGAACAGATTATCAGTTTCAAAGATGACGAAAAACACTTGCCATCCGAGATGACCCAAAGAGGCCAATCCTCTGGCTCAGAGGACAAAATAAGACTTGCGGAGCAACCCCAGACCCCATCTGTAAGTCCATCTCCTGGTATAGAGCCGCAGGTCCTTGCTTCAGGAAATACACTTACCTCAAAATCTAAAGAACAGAGTCACGTCCAGCTCAGGAGGAAGAACGTTCCTCTTCCAAACAAAAGATATCTCCAGGCTGAGTATGAGATGCTTTCTGGGGGCCTTCACAAAAAGGAGCAGAAGTCTGTTAAAACTGGGAAATATGTCTGCCAGTATTGTGGAAGAGCTTGTGCCAAACCAAGTGTACTAAAGAAGCACATCCGCTCTCATACTGGCGAACGACCGTATCCATGTATTCCTTGCGGATTCTCATTTAAAACTAAGAGCAACTTATACAAACACAGAAAATCTCACACCCATGCTGTGAAAGCAGGATTGGTTTCAGTTTCAGAGCAAGACTGCAAGAATACGGATGAGGTGGCGGAGGGTGAAATGCATTCGGATGCAGAACAAAGCAGCGATACCGATGAAGAGGTTGCGGAGGACTTGTCCTTGGATACAACAAGCCATATTAAAGAAACAGAGGGTTATGTGCAAGAAAAGGTCGGGAAATTGGCCAAAAAGGAAGCCCTTTTTCCATCGCAGACGCCACTCAAAAAGGAAACTGGACCATCAGGAAAAGTTTCTTTATGGCAGTTTCGGGAAATGACGGCACCTGTGGCTATTGCTCAGATAGACCAAATGGTTGAGTTTTCCACCATCAAGCAAAAACTAGCACTACGGCTATCAGAGAAGAAAAGTCAAGAATCCGATCAGTCCCTGTCCTTGCCCAGTTCATACAGTAAAGGCAGCACCGATTCCGGATACTTCTCTCGTTCTGAGAGTGCAGAGCAACAGATCAATCAGTCGAGTGCAAGTGCCAAATCATATCAAGAAATTATGTTTGGCAAATGTTATAGACCAGCGACCAGGCCAAAGCAATCAATCACTGTACAAACCTGCATGACAGACATAAATGAAGCCACATCTAGCTTCATGATTACACTGAACAAAGGCATGATGCCTGGTGACACGGACTCCTCCATTCACAGAAGCAAAAAAGACCTAGTCCGATCAATAAAAATTGATTCAGAGTCGTTCCAAGAGGAAGATTACCAAGAATGTCAAATTCCCAGCTCTGACCTTCTGGAAACAGCATTGGAGAGTAGTGTATTCTTGCGCAGTAACTCTCTTCCAACCTCATCTAAGTCTAATCTGAATACACCACAAGGACTAAGAAGCAGTAATTCATTTGATGAGAGAATGACAGGTGCTGATGTCACCTACCGGGGTGCAATGGGTATGAGGAGGCTCATGCGGCAATCTGCGTTTGAACACTCTGCTAATGAAGGTCACGCAGAATCAGACTGCTATACTCATTTGGCTTGTAGCTTAAAATCCGACTTGAAAATTCACAGCATAGATGATTCCAAAATGGCTGCTGAAAACTTTCAAGAAACAGAGACATGTTCAGTTTGTCCAGGCCACTCGTCAGAATCTTCTACAAGGAAACGAAGAAAAGACAAAACTGTCACGGAGGAGGAAGACTTTCATATTCAGGACAAGCCATCAAATGTGACTGGACTCTCAGAGGATCTTGAGACAAAGCAAATTTCTTCAGATAGTGTTGTTTCTGACACTGAGAGGAAGGCTGGCAGCAATGTTATTTCTGTCATTCAGCACACAAATTCACTAAACAGACTGAACTCTGCAGAGAAGTTGAGTGAGGTTAGATCCCATCAGTTAGACAAAATTGGCAAATTCATGGAAAAGGGGCATAGCATGGAATGTCACAGAACAGGATCAGAGTGTCAATGGGGACCCTGTGGTTTTCTGCACCAGAAACTTCACATGCATAAACAGCCAACGTCTCAGCCTAATATCCAGGTCCCGGAGATTAGAGTAACTGTGGAGCCTGACAGGCCTGAAAAAGTTCCAGATGTCGGTGTTAAGCAAAGGGAAAAGCACACTGAGGAGTTCCAGTGGCCTCAGAGGAGTGAGACCCTGTCACAGTTTCCAATGGAAAAACTACCACCCAAAAAGAAACGCTTGAGATTGGCTGAGATGGAATGTTCCTCTGGAGAATCTAGTTTTGAATCCGCTTGCACAAGTCTCTCAAGAAGTCCAAGTCAAGATAGCAATTTATCTCACAGCTCAAGTTTTTCCCAGTCCCTTGACAGAGAGGAGACCCTTAACCTTGTGTCCCAAATTAACCCAGATGAGTCTAGTAAACCATTAGAGTTCTTATCAGTGCCTGGGAGTTCACAGAGTCATCATCGAGAGATGAGGCGCTCCGCTTCAGAGCAGGCACCCTATAAGTTACCCTCAGAGATTGCAGAATTCCGAAGCAAGTCATTTGATTATGGCAGTCTTTCTCCATCATCTACATATAGGCTGGAGGAGGTTAAAGAACGTAGAAGGGCCTTTTTGGTTAGACAGGCCTCATTAAGTGGTGAACCTGAGACACAAGGTGGCAATTTCTCAGATGAAATTAGCAAGAGAACAACTTTGCCGTTCACTCCTGAGGGATCCATTGAGAAAATGAGATACTCTTTGATTTCTGGTAGTTCTTTTCCACATCACAGACAATATAGCCCAGTGCAATCCTCTTCCCAGCATGTTAAACCAACTGTTTGCAATGTCCATGACATGGAAAATGTAATGCTTGTAATTAAGAAAGAACCCGAAGAGTCTAAATCACCTGAAACTTATGTTAACTTGAGAGAACCCCAAGAGGATTGTTCTCAGAGTTTGGGCAATGTTTTGTCAACAATAGCAGTGCTTTCACAAGCTCAGCAAGCATTAGCCAGTCAATGCTCATCTGGGTTGCTTGTTCCTGTCAGAATTCAGATGCAAGTACCATCTTACGGAAACATAACATATACTAGTATATCTCATATTCTGGATTCTCATATCCAGAAACCCATTTCTTGCCTAGAACACAAAAAATCCTCCTCTCAAAGTCAACAACTGCACAGCCTACAAGCATCACCAGCAAAGCTTAAAACAGGTATACCTCTATCATTAACCTCCAAAACCATTTCAACTACTGAAGCCCCAAGTGGTGGTGCAAACAAGCGTATGCTCTCACCTGCAAGTAGCATTGAACTCTTTATTGAGGCAAAGCAGCAAAAACGAGTCAAAGACGAGAACATTTATGGTCAGATTGTTGAAGAGCTTAGTGCTGTAGAGTTAGGAAATCTTGAAGTTGAAAAAGAAAGTCCCAAGTCAGAATTCACCTCCGAGCCCATTGATAAGATGGATATGGATGAGGCAACCCAAGAGTTTTACAGCAATGCAGAGTTGCAGTCTTCAGCCAGAATTTCTCAAGATGCTGCTATTATGGAGCAAAAGCCAACACCTGAAAGCATGATGGCTAGTCATCATTCTGCTTCTTGTATCAGTTTAATGCCCTCTGCAATAACTGGTACTTTACTGTTCTCAAAATTTCCTGGTCTTCACACTACTACTTGCATGAGCTGGTGCTATCTCAATACCACCAAACCAAATAGCACCCACACAGTCGCACCATTCTCAGAATATGCCTCATGGTTTGTGAGATGCCATAACCCCAACCCACCAGATATTAGCACTGGGATGGTTCTTGCCCTTCTCCGATCTAAACAGCAAAGACAGAATGCTATTTATACAATTGCTACCATCTATCAACCTGGACTACTTGTGACTTCTACCCCCTGGACACCGAAGCAAGAACAAGTATGTTATGTGTTGATTTGCATCTAGATGCTATGCTTTCTTTCCCTTTATTTTAATGCCATAGTTTTATAGCCATCTGTTACATAAAGTATGTTGCACTACTACAGATTGCACTGGACTACAGAGAGGAAGATACAAAACAAGACATCAGGCTAAGAGAAATTAGCCACCGGGGCAAATCTTTACGAGAGGATGTTTCATCCATCATTCGGCAAACAGAACCAATGCGTGTAAAGATATTTGAAGGAGGGTATGAATGTGTATTGTAATAATATTAATGTTCATATGTCACTGAAGTAATGCATCCTTGTATAAGTGTTGTTTATTCCTTTCAGGTATAAGTCCAATGAGGAATATGTGTATGTAAGGGGCCGTGGTCGGGGAAAGTATATATGTGAAGAGTGTGGTATTCGTTGTAAGAAGCCAAGCATGCTTAGGAAACACATACGGACGCACACTGATGTGAGACCCTACATCTGCAAGTGCTGCAATTTTGCATTTAAAACTAAAGGTTGGTTTTACCACACATTTAAGCATGACTGCAATAGTTTGAGACAGAAAAATAATCCCTTTTTTCTTTTAGGGAATCTTACCAAGCATATGAAGTCAAAAGCTCACATGAAAAAATGCCTTGAACTTGGAGTTTCACCGACAGCTATGGACAATACAGAAGATGCTGGTAGGAGCCTGTTCTGTAAGAAGCTAGGCATTAGCCTAGCCAAAACAATTTCTGAGCCACTTATAAAACCCCAATGTTAAAAAAAATCTTATTTTTGTTTTATTCCCCTACGGCTTGTATAGATGACACCCAGAAATCCTTGGGCATCATGCCAGCGGAACAAACCATTAAACATCAATTCTCAGATGTGGAGGATTCTGATGGTGCCGATGAGGATGAACCAGACGAGGATGAAGATGATGAATGTGATGGTGATTCTACACCAAAAACGTTGTCTAGAAGCACAAGTCCTCAGTCCTATGCTGTCAACAAGCCATGTATGTCTGGCTGCCTCCCTAAACACTTTGACTCAGGCTGCAATCTACCAAAGGAGCAGCTTGAAGCGTCCTCTTTGACTATTGAGGATGACCTGAATTCTGATCAGTCAAGCTGCTCCTTTGAGCTCTGCCCACCTCAGCTGCTGTCACCTTGTTGGGACTCACCTCGACAGAGGTACATGTCCCCAAGAGGAGATCTCTCACCCCAACGTCACCTACTGTCAAGCCGAGATTCATCTCCATTAAGGGCCGTTTCTCCCAGGAGAGATTTGAGCATCAGAGGGGATTTTTCACCCATTCGCCAGCTGTCACCTGTAAGACCTACAGGTTTGGACACATCAGGACAGCGAGCACAGTCTCCACTGGGTCGACATAAAGTAGCGCTCAGGGCTGTGTCTCCACGAAGGGGGTCTTATCAGCACAGGACCCACATGGATCTGGGAAGGAGTGTAAGATTTCAAGCTTCGCCCATTAGACCAATCATTGGAGAGACAGGAGTGGTATGCTTATCTTTTTACTTTTGGCAGCGACTTTTACCCACAGCAACTAGCATTGCATTCATGGTGCATGTTTTAAAAAGTTCTCGCTTGTCCCATTTTCTACTGCAAAGGTTCTCAATTCTGGCACTCAAGATCCGGTTTGAGTTCTAAACCTAATGTTATACACCTGATAGTGCGAATCTAGCTAATATTTGAGATTACTATAAAGGTACAGACAGGTGTGTTTGAGCAGGGTTGGAACTGCGGTCTGTGAGACAGTAACTCTTTAGGAGCAAGGATTGACTGCACCTGATCATGGAAGGCTACTGTCTTGCAGACTTCACTTCCATCCCAGCCTAAACACACCTGCCTTTATATATCCAGTTAACATCTTGATAAGCTGGTTCAAGTCTGTTTAATTGGTATTGGAGGTGAAATCTGCTAGACCAGGGGTCACCAAACTTGTTCCTGGAGGGCCGGTGTCCTACAAATCTTAGCTCCATACCTAATCAAACACACCTGAACAAGCTAATCATGGTCTTAAGCTGCGGTCACATTGGGCTTTTGCTCCAATAGACTTCCATTCATACACACGCGAATGCATCAGACTGGAAACGCGGGGTCATGCGTCTAGTTTTGCAGGTTGCTGCGGTGCAAAGTTCAAGCTTGGTGAACTCTAACCTGCAAAATCGCATCACTTGACTGCGTGAGACTAAACAAAGATCAAAACATGACATCCCTGGACAGAAATTTAAAACATGGAGCAATCGCTCACTTTTTTAATGTCTAATAATCTTGCTTAATCCCGCCCCTTTTCGCAGAGCCATATGACAGAATTGCGCATGCTCAAACTCTAATGTGACCGCAGCTTTACTAGGTATACTTGAAACATCCAGGCAGGTGTGTTGAAGGATGTTGGAGCTAATCCCTGCAGGGACACCGGCCCTGCAGAACCGAGATTGGTGACCCCTGTACTAGACAGCTGCTGTACCGACCAGGCCGATCACTCCTAAATTAAAGTGGACCTCAAATGCCCAAGTTGAGAACCACTGCTTAACTGATTTTGCTACAGATATTCATGTTTAGTTTTATATGTTCCTTTGGGGACCCCAGCTATGGTTACTATAAACTTTGCATAGCTATGTGAAGATTCCTACTGTACTGACAGAATGGAATGGGTATATTGCAATATGTGCAATGCTGTTTAGTTGCATAATAGTAATAAATATTTAAAACAATTGTCACACCAGAACTACCAGAACTGCTATTTTACATACCTAAATGAGTTAGTCGGCATAACAAACAATTATTCTTTTTTCAGGATCAAGGGGATACTTCTCTTAATCTCATTGTTCCTGTTGGCCTATGCAGCAGTAAAGATCTGCCAAAAACCCGGCAGCCAGACATCTTCAGCCATTTGCCTTTGCACTCTCAAGGACAGGTGTCAACACCTGTTCCAATGGTCCCTATCGGAGTGTTAAGAATGCCATCAATATCGACCTCTGGTGCTGTTGCGGAGAGAAATTCGCTCCCATCAATTCCACAGGGGAACATTTTAGAAACGGCTGCGCCGGGCCAGACATCAGCCTCTGTCCCAGATCCAGCAGTGGCCTACAGTGGAGAAATAGCAACCTATTCCACTGGCCTTCCTAACAAAGATGATAAGAAGGAGGAGAGTGTCTACACCTGTGCAAAAGCTATTGCTTCCCTCAGAATCACATCTGAAGATGCCTCCGATAATCCACCTAAAAGCTGACTTTAGAAACAATGTATAAACGCATTCGAAAGCAAAACTAAATTCAAGCTCAAACCAGAAACATACGTTATGCAAGTATTCAAAGATAGGGAATGGTTGTTTTTATTGTTTGTGTTTTTGCATTGCACTGGCGGTAGCAATCTTCTCTACTCCCGGGGGCGTTCAGATTACCTTTAATTGTCTGTGCCATTAAAACGGGTGTGTTCCACTTCACTTTTAGACTCCTACTCCCGATATTCCCTAAGCTTCCCATCCAGGGGAATCAGCCCTGCTATGTTAAAGTGCATTCCTCTTCAAGGAGTGGATGGAGGAAGTTTACATGCATAGGCCTTTGACTTCTTGAGATGTAACTACTTATACGTAGACTTTTAGCTGCTTCACATACCATAATGCAAAACAATTGTGATTGCCCTGTTGATCGGGGTTAATTTACCAAAAACTCAGAACTCTTTAATATATATGTATTTTAAGTTTTAAATATTTAAAACAACCCAAGCATACTTGTAGACCTTGTAGACTTATAGAATGATGCATCAAACAGATTTGGAAAAAAAGTGTACAGATTGTCTCCATAGTCAATTTAAAACACACCTGCCAACACTTCCGTTTTTTACAAGATTCTCCCGTATTTCAGGCCCATCTCCCGGCCATCTCCCATATTGTTCTGTCTCCCGGAAAACACTCCCTATGCGCACCGAACGCAACACGCAACCATCTCCATACCTGCTCCCCACTCTTTAGTTTGCACGCCCCACCTCACTCTTCACTTCACATGCCCCACCCCACTCTTCACTTCACGCGGATAAAACCTCCCGGATTGTATGATCCAAATGTTGGCAGGTATGATTTAAAAGGAGCAAGGGCTTAAGCCCAATGCATACTTTTGGATGGCTACATTTCATCATCATGACTGTCGATAGACATCTCTTCACATATTTTCTGCCCACAAACAGTGTGTAAAATAGCGCAGGCACAAGGTGAAAGTTCATGCATAACAGTCCACTCTGCATGTTGTACTCTGTGCTCATGGTTTGATGAGATTGAGATACAAGAGATTGAGCAGCACATGAAAATAAAGTAAACACAGGCTAGTAAGAAGTTTCAGCTGAGCCCTTTGGATTGTTTCGCATCTTAAAAAAGATGAGTCAACAAGATTAAGGGAAGTTGGTGAGGGAAAGGCATTAATAAAATGAAGTGGAATACGACCCTTTATATGTTACTATTCGAGAAGGTGCTGTAAGTATGCCAAGTTTAACAAACTAACTTGCTAAGTTCTCCATAGTTGAGCCATAGCGCCCCCTCGCAGCATTTTTAATTGCACATTTCAGAAGGTAAAGATACACGAAGTTAAACTTGAGTAAAGTGTGTTTTTGGCCTAAAGGCTGATTGATACTTCTGCGTCGAGTGATCGCTGTGGCCCACAGCACCTGCCTTGCACATGGTTGTGCATTGTTCTGCTCAATTTGTGTTGCTCTGCAATAACACTTCCCAAACTGCTAGGCAGTAGGTGTTTATGTTCCTCTGTGTCGAGTTTCTTGTGGATGTTTTGTTTTTTCTGTAAGCTACCTTAATGTACAAGTAGCTGAAACTCGCTCATTTAGAGGCAGGAACCGGCGGACGTGCAACAACTTTAATCAAAAGGTAAACACAAAACAAAATATTCCATCTGGAGCTCCTTTACGGGACTCGACACTTGTAAACACTCGCTTCAACGGGCTCGCAGCTCTCAGCACTGACCATGTTCGTCACCGCTACCAAGCAGACCAATCGCAGAGCTTGTGCTTTGCGTCATTGTGACATGTAGTTAAATTTTTTTGAGGGGTGCGTGTCAGCATTGGTGTCAGCCATGGCAAATGCTATGCACCAGAGCATACATGTGAACTTGATGCAGAAGTGTAAATCAGCCTTGAGAGGCTGAACTAGGGGGCGTTTACATGACAACTGTTCAACTAAAAACGTTTTGGCCATGTATTTACACGACAACAGCTTTTTGAAGGCCTAAAAATGTGAACTTTTGAAAACGGGTTTCTTAATGCAAGTACTTGGCAACTCATGTATGTGCACTGACATAGTTTTTCTGCATAAAGTGATATCGCCACCTACTGACCTGGCATAATACATTGTTTTAATACAGATAATACAGAGCTTTTTTAAAAGGATTGTTTTAACAGTACCGAAGGTGAAACCCTTACATTTTTCAACAGTTAATTGCACATTTAGAAAGGTAAAGATACACAAATTTAAACTTGTTTAAAGTGTGTTTTTGGCCTAAGAGTCTGATCAAGGGGGTGTTTACATGACAACTGTTCATGTATTTACACAACACAGCATTTTGGGGGCCTAAAAATGCAAACTATTAAAAATAGGTTTCTAAATGTGTAAGGTGATGTCGCCACCTACTGGCCTAGTATAATACAGCATTTTTCTCAGTACAGATTTATTTTGATATTGTCGAAGGTACACCTTTTTGTTTTTAGGTAGATTGCTGTCATGTAAACGTACCCTGAGATTTTGGTGACTTAAGCGTAACGGGTTTCTTAATGCAAGTACAACCATGTACATGCACCGACATGCAATGTTTCTGGATAAAGTGATGTCGCCACCTACTGGCCTGGCATAATAAATTCCTTTTAGCCATTTTAACATACACTTGTCAACAAGTTTGCCGAAGATGCAACTTTTAAATTTTTTTAAGTCCATCGCGGTCATGTAAATGTGCCCCAAGGATGAATTGCACATTTAGAAAGCTGAAGATGCACAAGGTTAAACTTATGTAGAGTGTGTTTTTGGCCTAAGAGTCTGATCAAGGAGGTGTTTACATGACAACTGTTCATGTATTTATAAAACACAGCATTTTGGGGGCCTAAAAATGTAAACTATTAAAAATAGGTTTCTAAATGCGAGTACTTGACGGCCCATGGATGTGTAAGGTGATGTCGCCACCAGGGCCGGCGCATCCATAGAGGCGACCTAGGCAGCCGCCTAGGGCGGCAGAATAGAGAGGGCGGCATCCGAACACCTCCCGCACCACCCGCGACCGCTGTTATACCCGCGCCCTTGGCGGCAGAGAGGGCGGCATCCGAACACCTCGCGCACCACCTGCGTCCGCAGTTATATCCGCGCCTAGGGCGGCAGAATAGAGAGGGCGACATCCGAACATCTCCCGCACCACCCGCGTCCTGCAGTTATACCTGCGCCTAGGATGGCAGAATAGGGTTCTTCACTTTGATAACCGGTCATTTTCGTTTTCACTTTCGGTTTGAAGAAGGTTGATCGTCCTTTGCCTAGAGCGGCAGTTCAGCTTGCTTCGGCCCTGGTCGCCCCCTACTGGCCTAGTATAATAAAGCATTTTTCACAGAACAGATTTATTTTGACCGTGTCGTGGCCTTTTTGTTTTTAGGTAGATTGCTGTCATGTAAACGTACCCTGAGATTTTTGTGACTTAAGCGTAACGGGTTTCTTAATGCAAGTACCCGACAAACCATGTACGGGCACCGACATGTAGTGTTTCTGGATAAAGTGATGTTGCCACCTACTGGCCAGGCATAATAAATTCCTTTTAGCCATTTTAGCATACACTTGTCAACAAGTTTTCCGAAGATGGAACTTTTAAAAAAAATTTTTAAGTCCATCGCGGTCATGTAAATGTGCCCCAAGGATGAATTGCACATTTAGAAAGCTGAAGATGCACAAGGTTAAACTTGTGTAGAGTGTATTTTAGGCCTAAAAGTCTGACCAAGGGGATGTTTACACGACAACTGTTTCCAACTCATAGGTTTTGATCATGTATTTACACAGCAACAGCATTTTAAGGGCCTGAAAATACAAACTTGGGTTTCTAATACAAGTACTTGACAACCCATGTATGTGTAAGGTGATGTTGCCACCTACTGGCCTGGCATAGTACAGCATTATTTTGTCCATTTTCATAGAACTAATTTAACTTGACCATGCCAATTTCTGTGGTGTAAACATACCCCTGAGATTTTTGTGTTATGTTTTGGTAACTTAGGCGTAAATAATAAATATGCACAACATCTAGCATTTATATTAATTTGAGTGCACATGCATATAATCAAATATAAACGTGAATAAGAGACAGGTTCAAGGCAATTTTAGATCAATATTTCATGAGAACCAGTCGCAAGTCTTGCATTGTACAGGACAGGAGGTGCGTCATTGCGTCCCCAAGCACTGTTTGCATTATACCGAATTTGTCGTCATTGACTTCTGCTTGTGCCTTTTAAGAAGATGTTTGCATATTCCTCAATGAGAGAAAGTCATTCGATGTACCCCCGTTTATGCACTTAAAAATTAGTGGTGGTCATTAAGTTGAACTAATATGAGGTACCGTGGTTGCTTTTTGAGATTGCACTTATGACGTACGTTACAGTTTGCATATTGCATTAAGCTGTGCTCTGACATTGCCTTGTACGCTATTGTATATTTTTGCTGGCACCTTTATAACTGCATTATGTCAAGATTCTGAACCCAAAAGTGTTTAAACAGGCCTTTTGTTTAAACCGTCTCCACCTTATAGTATTTTTCTAAATGTATCATACCTCGTTTCCTTATGTAATCTTTAGATATTTCAGCACTTAAGCAAAGACGTGTCATTATAAGGCATTTTTAATATAGATCTGCATACGAC